TTTTTTTGAAAAATGATCAACGCTAACAGGTTCAAGAGAGCAAATGATTTATTTATTAAGAATATTACAAAAAAAAAGAAAAAAAACATTTTTTTAATTAAAATCTCATTGGCTTTTGGGCAGTCTTTAAAGTCTTCCCACATGTTAAATAAAAAAAAAAATAAAAAAAAAAAAAAAAAAAAAACATGGGAAAATTTCCCACAAATCTTTAAAAAGTTATTTTAAATATTAATGACGATAAGGATATTAGGAAGAGATCGTTAAAGGAAACCAAAAAGTCAAATTGAAATTTCACACACTTCCTTATGCGTACAAGTGGAAACCCTTTGTGTTATGCGCTATATTCAAAAGAATCCTTCTCTTTTGTGCACTGGAAAATGTATATTTATTTGTGCTCTGTTCTTGTTGTAGTTCTTTCTCATGGTATTAATGCAAAAATCAAAGACAGGTATCCATTGAATTGTTTTTGTGGAAAACCATTGTCATGATAAATATCGAATGTGTGTGTACTCGGTATTCATCCTTAAGGTATTGAAATACTTTGCTCTTGTTTGTAAAGTATTTCTAATCTAAATAACGTTAATCTATGTAACGAAATTCATAGCTTCTTCAAATTTATAAATCTTTCGAAAGATATGTTCACACAAATCTTCTCTCACATCAATATTTTGACAATCTTTACATAGATTATGAATCAAATAACTTTAAAGACTTCTTCTTCTGAAGACGAAATTTTAGAAATTAATTACTAAAGATTTTTGTGTAAGCTTTTGTTGGAATATGTATAGAACTTCTTGCAGGCAGAAGACTTTATCTCTGTTAGAGAAGAGAGTAGTGGGAGATGTGGTGAACTTCCACTTGTTAAATTATTGGGTTTGCACAGAACGAAGATAGATCTCGTTCGCGTGGATTGTCGCAAAATAGGCGAAGGCTGAGTTTTTTGCGGTGATTTGAACAAGATCTTCTAACTTGAAGAACCTAAACTTGTATGAAAGTCAAGTGTATTCTGGCGAAGGGATGGAAAGCACCCCCATACTCACTGAATTGTGCCAGTAACGTTTGGTGGCGAGTAATTTTTCTTTATTATATAAGATACGAAATTGTGATGGTGATCTAGCAATCAATTTAATCTTGTTTGATTTAAATTTAAACGGTAATTAAGGAATATGATAAGCTGCTTGGGACGAAGGACAGATAGACAGACAAACAGAT